AAATACTCCCTCCGTCCTATAATGTCTGACGTTTTTTGATGCAGTGTAGTGTCAAAAAATGTCTTACATTATGGAACGGAGGGAGTACAAATTAATCAAGGATATGTGTTATTTCCTCCGCACTAAATTGCCAGCTGATTCACAAAAGGAACCCCACCAAGTTTCATAGCACGATTACCCAAACAAGGTACTGGGTTTCTTGGAGCAACTCATAAGCTGGTCTGCGGTGCTAGTTCATGATGAACTATGCAAACGTGTAAAGAGACACACAAGGGGTTTATTCTTGTACTCCCTCGGTAAAGAGACACTTTTCGTGCACACAAGCCTAGGCATACAATTTAGCTTGAGAATGTGCACCACCTATTTCCTAACTACTGGCTGCGCACCAAGTGAACAAAATTAACATTTGTTAATTTAAAGTCAATCATCATGCATGCACACCTAGGCATACAATTTAGTTAGAGAATAAGCACCACCCAAATGATTTCCTAGATGTGAACAAAATTGACATGTATTAATTTAGAGTCGGTCATCATGCACAAACACCTAGGTATACATAAAATTTAAGCTTGAGAATGTGCTTCACCCGCACGATTCTCAAGCTGCCCGCATCATGTGAAGTTAAGATATACTCTTCGTTTTTATTTAGTCCGCATGTTAGTTTTGGTCAAAGTCAAGCTTTGTAAACTTTGACAAAATATATAAACAAAAATATTAACATATACAATAACAAATCAATACCATTAGTTTCATTACTGAATGTACTTTTACATCGTATAGGTTTTTTATGGTAAATGTTTATATTTTTTCTATAAATTTAGCCAAACTTTGCAAAGTTTGACTTCAGTCAAACCTAATATGCAGAGTAAATTAAAACGGAGGGGGTATTCATGTAGAGTCAGTCATCATGCACGCATGCCTAGGCAGACAATTTACCTTGAGAAAATGCACCACCCACACGATTCCCTAGCACCACACCATGTGAACAAAATTAACATGTACTCCCTCGGTCCCAAAATTCTTGTCTTACATTTGTCTAGATACGGATGTACCTAATACTAAAACGTGACTTGATACATCCGTATTTGGACAAATCTAAGACAAGAGTTTTGGGACAGAGGGAGTACATTCAGAGTGAGTCATCGTGCACTCAAGCACAGGCATACAATTCAGCTGGAGAATGTGCATTACCAACATGATTCCCTAATTGGCCGCACCACATGAACATAGCTAGCATGTACTTCCCCCGTCCGAAAATACTTGTCATCAAAATGGACAAAAAAGGATATATCTAAAACTAAAATACATCTAGATATATCCCCTTTTATTCATTTTGATGACAAGTATTTCCAAACGGAGGGAGTATTAATTAGAGACATTCATCACACACACACACACAGATATACATTTTCACTTAAAAATGTGCACCCACCCACATGATTCCCTAGCTGGCTACACCATGGGAACAAATTGACATATACTCCCTCCATTCCACATTATTTGTCTCAAAAGTGGATAAAATGGATGTATTTGCAATTAAAATACGTCTAGATACATCCATTTCTGTGACAAATAATTTCGGACGGAGGGAGTATTAGTTTAGAGCCAACCATCTTGCACGCATGCCTAGGCATACAATTTAACTTGAGGATGTGCACCACCCACACAATTCCCTAGGGGGCTGCACCATCTAACAAAGTTGACATGTACTTCCTTCGTCCGGAAATACTTGTCATAAAAATGAATAAAAGGGGATGTATCTAGATGTATTTTAGTTTTAGATACATCTCTTTTTGTCCATTTTGATTTTTTGACGTAAACGGGCAGGTGCTCTGCCTTTTCATTAGAGATTAGGAAGGTACATGAGAGGGCAAAAGTGCCAAGGGAAAACAAAGGCTAGGAAAAAAAAGAGAAAAGGATCCAGTTGCACAAAGCACTGGCTGCATTAATTTGATGACGTGTTTTCGGACGGAGGAAGTATTAATTTAAAGCCAGTCATCGTGCACGCACGCTTAGGCCCTCTTAGATGCCACTTGTCTTATCCTGATGTATTATCTTGTGGGCATTCCCCCACTAATCTTGAAATATAAGCAGGGGATCAAGTTTGCAATAAAAATAAAAGGAAAAAAACACACGTGCCACACCGGCCCACCGTTGCAGTACAGTGAAGTGCTTCCAACCCAACCCAACTCCACCGTACAAAGAGTATCATAGGAAGGAGGGAAGATCCACATCGAATTTGTGTTGCTGCTTGTTTTTCTTCTTCTTTTTATGGTGGGGATGGCGGTATTTCTTAAATTTACCACCAGTACTACTACTTGTACTACGATGGTACAACCAAAATTCTTAAGATGGACAATTCAAGTCCGTCCATTTGGTATCCACCCAATTCATCCACATGTCCTCGTCACGCGTGTCGTCGTCAGCTGGATACTACTCCCTCCATCGATCCGTCCATGGGCACGGGTAGATCCCATCTCAGGCCGTGTGTGGCAATCAAATCCTAATTACACATGTCGTGCTACGTCATCTTCTAACTTTACGTTTCGTCATCATCATCATCATATCGAATATACCGTTTGTTTCAGCCATCATCCATGAGTTACATACATACAGGGAGGTTGCTAACCCCACCCAAAAAAAAGGGAGGTTGGTAACAGATAACAACCATGTTTGTTTTAGGGCAATGTTATTCAGTGAACCGTTTGCTGGGAAATGATGGAAAAACAAACATTTTTCGCGGCAATTGTATTGCCTAGAGCATGGCAATCTTTTCAAGCGAACATGGCAACTTTTACAGCAAATTCTTGTTTTGCCTGAAATTACCATGTGTTCCTGAAGAACTTGTCATTCTCCCACAAAGTAATATGCCATAAAAAATATACGCAAATGCCGTGCCTTTCAGCGAAAGTTTGATGGATATCGTGATCCTTATCTTATCAAGGAACCAAGAAAAACAATTTGCCCAAAACTGAGGGCTCCATTCATGAAGATATTGATGAAGAAGATAGGAGAGCCCGAGTGACGCCCGGCGAGCTGGATGACCCAGAGTTCACTCAGAAGATGAAGCATCTGACATTGGTGGGCGAGAACATGTACGAGCATATATGGAATATGATCTCGCGACAAAGATGAAGCATCTGACATTGGCAAAACCTCGATGGAGATTGGCAGCAGCCTTTGTGTTGTGCCAATAATCAAACACGTGCCACACCAACCATGCTTCTCCATTTTAGGCTGAAAAATCAACCATGCATGCATATGGTCCAGTCCAGTGCAGTGCCACCAACTCCATCATTAGATAGGAAGGAAGATCCACATGACATTGCTGCCTGCCTTTGATTTGTGCTGCTTTTTTTGTTTTGTTTTGTTTTGTTTATGGGGTGGTGGCATTTTCTTAGATTTACCACTAGCTAGGAGAAAGTAGCAGAAGCATCCATCCATTCATTCGGTATGTTACAACCAAAATTGCCCGTGTGTGTGTTCGTCATTTTTTATCCCACCCGCCCTCTATTTCATAAAGCAGTGCATATTTTGTTTTCTCAAAGTCAACCATACACATGTTTTACAAAGTTTTAAAGAAAACATATCGATCATTAAAATACAAAAATCAATATCACTAGGTTCATCATGCAGATTACAGTTATAATTTTATTTATTTATTTAGCGTTTTAGATGTCGATAGTTTATCCTACAAAAATATGCAGTACACTATGGAACGGAAGGAGTACGTAGATACATACAGGCTGCTAACAGATGAGCTTATTTTATCGAAGGTACGTACCAACCAAGAGCCAATTAACCAAGAAATGCATATATTTTTTACACACAATGGTACAGACCAGCTGGCTATCTACCTGCTAATACTGTAGTATGTCCATCAACGTATGTATCTACGTACCTACCCTGCTGAGGTGAAACACTGTACGCCACTGATGGTAGCGGTGGAGTAGACAAAAACTACTGCTCTGCCAGATCTGAATCTCAGCTTGCATTTCTACTCCACAAGCAACTAAGTGTATTATTAGCCAAGGAGGGAGGTAGGAGTAGTAACTAACTAGACCACCAAATTTCATTCCTTCCTTGCTCTCAAAGCAAACTTCATTACTCCACGCTGGTGCAGTTCTGATCTATCTATTGCTCAAAGGGCGGGCTGTAACCGCTTAGTATTAACTCAGATAACATGAAGGTCATCGAAACCATGAACAATGGAGGACGGTCATCTAGTACAGCGGCGACAGTGTTTGACGATTGTTATTTTTTAGCATGTGACTTTTCCCATTACTAAATTTTAAGCATTGTAATAGAGAAGCAAATATGGTCGCACATGAACTTGCTAAGTTAGCTAGATTTTCTTCATCTTTGAACTGGTTTGAGGAGCCCTTGAGTGAAACTGTACCCCTCCTCATAAACGATGTACGTACTTGTTATTGCAAATGAATAAAGTTTCTATGTTCTTTTCAAAAGAAAAAAAACTTCATTACTAGTACAACAACAAACAACATTTCCATTATTATTTTCACAACAACAAGTTACTACCAACATATATACCTATAGTACTACCTGCTACATTCTGTAACAACCAACTGCCAACATACATAACTAGCTACTCCCTCCGTTCCATAATTCTTGTCATGGTGGTTTTAGTCCAAACAACAACAAGAATCAGGAACGGAGGGAGTCGACAACATCTTGTGCTGTTTATTACATCCGATCCGCACTAAATTCACAGACACAAGAAAAGAAGAAGAAGAATAGCTGCATCCAGTTCCAAACCGGACGTACTGCTGAGTTTGTTGAAGCAATTCATTATGCAGTGGATGAGCTCCTGAAGCGTTCCTTCCTGCGGTGCTTAATCATCAGTTGGTTGCATTGCATTTGCATACATCCTCAAGTATGGACTACACAGATGCTAAAAAACAGAGACACAAAACAGATTTAATTTTAATTTCATAGTACCACACCACTTTCTGTACCTTAATTTCTTCCATCTTCGTCGCCTATTCGTCCCGGAACGACACCGCCTTTGAACAAGAGGCCGTCCTCCCCGACGACGGATCGCTCGTCCTCTTGCTCGCGCTTCTCGACAGGTTGTTGTTAAACCCTTTCGGCCACGCTTCTTCTTCTTCGCAGATAACTCTGCAATTGCGTTACGTGCTTCAGGATCGATATATGGAGAAAAAGTATGCAGGCATGAATATGTACAGATAGATAATGATGTAAACCAAGGCGGCGATCGATCGGCATTACGTGCGTACCCTTCCTGGTGACTGCGCGACGAAGAAGAAGAGCGTTTAAGTGCACTGTCGAGCAGGCGGCCACTGCAATTTTCTGCGGGCTTCAGTGCGCCGAGAGGAGACAGCTCCGGAGACGCCGGGTACTCGAGCTGCGGGAAACACGGCTTGTACGACGACGTCTGCACCAAGCCGAAGCCGCCGGGGTGGCTCGGCCCGCAGGCCATGAGGCGCATCAGCAGGTTGGCCGGCTTCAGCCTACCGCTGACGGAGCCGCCCGTGGCAGCAGCAGCAGCAGCAGCAGCCCTGTCGTCCTCCACCGGCAGAGGAAGGCACCTCCTCCTGCCGGCCGCCTCCGCCCGTATCAGAGACTGCAGGGTCCCGCTCCTCCTGCTGCGAGGCTGGTCCTCCCCTGCGGGCGCACGCGTGCAACGGGATTCCTCGTCCACGACGATCTCCGGCCCTTCCGGCGATGATGATGCTCTTGCTGTGCCCTGTCTGTGCTGCAGCTTCACGTCGTCCCACCGCGCTTTATCATCCGTCTGTGTGGCCGCGTCGCTCCCTGCCGCTGCGGGTTTGGGAGGGCTGGGTGAGCTTGTATCTGAGGAAGCCATGCTTGTCTTGGGGGAGGAGATGCTCGAGGAGCCTGAATGTGGTGGCAATCTGCATTGCTCTTCATCCCCAGTGGTGGATGCAGATGGTGATGACAGCGAGACCAGCTGGAGAAGTCGCGGTGGCACCGCGTGCTCTTTCATGGCTGGAACAACAGCTGCACGAGCTGTTGTTGTTGTTGTTGATGGTGGTGGTGGTGGCGGCGGCGGCGGTACTTCCTCTTTGATGACTGGAACTGCAGGGTAAGTTGTAGGAGTAGGAGACGGAGACTTGGAAGTCCACCCTTGGTTCGATGATCCAGGAGAAGGAGGCGACTCTTGTTGTCGAGCCGGCTTGCAGGGCTGAACCTTTGCACATGCTGCATTATTCTGCTGATGATCTGAAACAGTAGCATATGATCAAGTAGCAGTTTAAAAAAGAAACAAATTACAGTTGCTCATGATCCATGGAATTAATACCTGGCATTGGCAGGGGCTTTGAGTGGTCGAACGGGAGCTCGGAGCCCTTGAGAACGTACTCTGTTCCTTGCGTGGGCAGCAGCAGATCATCCGCAGAAAGGTCGTGCCACACGAACCCAGTCTTGTAGCTCCTGCATTGCATCGTTGCAGCTTATGAATAAACACAATGTTTGTTGGACAACAGACGGGTCTCGAGATCGACCGCAATTCGATCGATGGGTGTATGTAGGTACCTTTTGCAGGACCAGGAATACTTGGCTGCCATGCCCTTCCCTCTCAGGGCGTCCAGCCGGCCAATCACATCTGAACAAACAAATTGCAATCATTCATGGTAAGTCATCATCCTACAATAAACTACTGATCAGGCACCAGCTGCAGCTTACTAACTAACCTCGCAGGTAGAGGCCTTGCGGGGAGGCGAGGGGCACCTCCATGAAGTGCGGGTGCTCCAGGTGGTGATTCCGGCACAGGTAGTACACCACCGCCGCCCTCGTCCCTGGCTCGTGCCTCCTGGTCGGCGGCGGCGGCTCCGGCTCCACCCTGACTGCCTTGGTGCGCATCCCGGACGGGCTGGCGCGCCGCCTCGCCCTCCCCTCCATCGCGCTCCGTGGATCCTCCAACGACATGTATGGGTGTGTGTGTGTGTGTGTACAGTCTGATCAACCTACACTGCAGACATTATAAGAAATAGCAGAGTGAGACCAAGCAAGCTGTGAACAAGACAAGGCAGCTAGGTAGGCAACAAGGAGGTAAACTAAGGGGAGGGAGAACAAGGAACAGACCTGCTGCTGCTGCTCCTGGATGGATTATCACTGACTATCAGGTCTTGCTGCTGCTTCGTCTTCCCTAGCTAGCTCTGGGTTCAGAAGGGGCCGAGCCCTTTTGTAAATGAGGCCCTGCCTGCTGCCTGCCTGGTAGGAGGAGAGGAGTGTTGGGTAAGAAAGAATGGAAGTCATACGGGGACATGTAGTTGCTGCGCACATGGGGCACATGTAGGATGGCCACAGTACAGTTGGACTTGCTGGGTGAGTGAGTGAGATTTGCTTAGTTGGTTTCACTTTTACTCCATGCAACAGCCATGCCATGCAGTGCAGTGGAGCCACCTTTCTCCTTTCCTGGGAGCTTTGCTTTGCTTTGCCTTTGCATCTCCAGCTTTTTCCACATATACCGATGCTTGCTTCCAGTGCAGACTAGTGAGTGGAGCGCCTCTTGGGTCTCGCCCTCTTTCATTTGATTCCCATGTCCTGGAGCCTATAATAAGATACCTTTCATACTCAGCAGTAGCATCACTCAACTTAAGTACACAGTTTCAAGGAAGGAAGAGAGAAATTTCAATGCACAGACTAGACTGATACAAGTAACAACAGAACTACTTCGATACCGAGCATTACTAAATTTAAGTTTAAACTTCCCAGGGAGAGCATAGAACTGAGTTATATCCTAGATTTGGCAGAACAAACCTCTAACATTATCTGGAATAAATCAGCAGGTCCTAGAAAAATACAACCAATTTCCAATAATGGCTACCTGCAAAGGCATCAGGTGCTAACCACTCTAGCAGAGCAGACATGAGCAACTTACTTAGATGACAATCTTTACATGCATCATCATGTCCTGCAAAGAGCAATCCAGTGAGAAGTACTACTTGCTGAGTTTGGTAGTACAACACTTTTCAGGATTCCTCCTAGAAAGGGCAGAATTGTTGTTGGTTACGCCACCTTGTCCTTTGGCCGAATGGAATGTCAACTAATCAGCACGTCTAATCAACCAAATGCCTATCTGCCACAGGACTCAAAAAATCTTGTACTTGTGTGCGCCCATTTAAAGAGTAGCTGCACAGAACGCCTACGTAGATGAAAAGGCTATAAATTGTGTACCAGTGACATGTTGAAATGTGCTGTGGAGAGACACAAAGTCATGAAAGAGCTAAATAGCCAAGAGGATCTGAAATGGTACAGGAAATGGGCAGCTGTCAGTAGTGCAAAGCGCAGCTCAGTGAGAAGTACTTGCTGAGTTTAGTAGTATAACCCTTTTCAGGATTCCTCCTAAAAAGGGCGGAAGTATTGTTGGTTACCCCTGCTTTGTCTTTTTGGCTGAACGGAATGTCAAATAAGCAGCGCGTCTAATCAAACTGATGCATGTCTTCCATAATGCCTCATCAACTAGTCCCCCACATGCTGGAAGATCTCCGTCGAAAGTTGCAGCTGATCTGTAAACATAAATGTTTCATTGAGGGTCAGTAAGTAAGTAAATGCATTTGAGAATTCAGATAAGCTCGATGTCCAAGTAATAATATGGTTGAATTTCGTCAAGCCGTAAGTTAAGGGAACCAAATACTCCTAGGAAGATCCATAATCCAGAGCATGTTGCATGTGGTAGAAAGCAGGACTCAGAAGTCACGACTGTACTTTTGTGCGCCATTTAAAGAGTACAGCTGGACACAGAACACCTATGTAGATGATACAGCTAAAAATTGTGTACCAGTGATATGTTGAAATGTGCTGGAGAGACGCAAAGTCATGAAAGAACTAAATAGGCAGGAAGGATATGATAATTTGAAATCAGTACGACATTTCCTTACAGGAAATGGGCAGCTGTTAGTAAGGCCAAGAAATTAACTGATTGAATGGAAAATGTACTTTTAGCAGCACCAACAACAGTGTGCATAGAGGATTGGCAGAATTTCCTTGATGCCGACTGAATCGGCCGTTGATAGAATCAAGACATGATTGTACCTGTGTGCGTGTTGAAATAAATCGGAATAGATGCCGAGAGCACCTAGTAAAGCTAGTATGAATCTTGGACCACTCACTCATAGCTAACATGTGATGAATTGCAATGGAGGATCACAAAGTCGTGGAATGAAGTAAATAGGCAAAAGGATGTGAGTTAATACGATCATTCCTTACGGGAAATGAGCAATCGAATGAGCGGAACGAGTAGTGTTGGCAACGCTATGGTGCTGAGCTATACATTGCTGGTCACCAAAATATGACTGACTGAATCATCTAGAGTATTATGTGAAACTGGCAACAAAATTCAGACATGATGTATGTATACAACACCTCATGCCGGAAAATGGATCACCGGAGCACCTCGGCCTTCTTCTTCTCCCTCCCCTTGAGGAAGAGGAAGAGGAAGACCGCCCTGCCGACCAGCTCTCGCATGGACCCCGGCGTTGAGCCTTTTTTTTCAACTCCAAGAACCACTTGCTGTCTTCCTTCCTCAGCCCCTGAAACTCATTCAGGTAATGCAGGTTGCTGTGCTTTGCCTAGAAGAGCTTCTCCTGCAAGACCAAGACCAAGACGGTCTCGGTGGTCCTGGTGCTGCGCAGGAGGCGGAGGGCAGGCCGCCGGTGACGGGGCGGCCGAAGCGGGCGAAATGGACGGCGGGGAAGGCGTCGATGGCGCTGCGCATCAGGAGGTGGAAGGGGCGCGGGGCGGCGAGGAGCGGTCGCCGGAGCGGAGGACTCCTATTGGTCTTCATGGCCCTGCTGCTGCTGCTACAGGTGGTGGTGGGATGTGGGTGTAGATGGAGGTGGAGAGGGAGAGCAGCGTGAGGAGGAGGAAGGCGATGAGGATGACGGCGGCGACGGCGTGGGCGGAGGAGGAGGAGGAGAGGAAGGCCCCGCGCCCACCAAGGAGCGGCGACGGCGATGGACGGGACGGCGGCGAGATCTGGTTGGGCCAACCGGCCGAGAAGCAGCACTTGTGTTCGTCCGGCCCATCATCACTTCTCTTTCGAGCAAAGTCTACATGCATGTGCTACAAAATAGCGCATCATGCATGTTAAGAAAATTAGAGTTAGTGGGGATCAATTATTTAGGCATATAGTATTCTATCTATGGTAAAAAAAAGAAAAAAAAGGCAAAAAGAAATGTTTTTTTTTGAATTATAACCTATGGCATACTACTTGCTCACTAAACCGACTCACACATGTACTCCCTCTGTCCCATAATGTAAGACATTTTTTGACACTATACTAGTATCTAAAAACATCTTATATTATGAGACGGAGGGAGTAATACATAGTGAGCAGTATAATTTATATACTACCTTTGATCCACATAATAAGTGTCACGGTTGTGAGTTCAAAACTATGATATTTATTTTGGATAGAAAGGAGCATTGTATACCGTGTAAGTTGCCGACAATAACAAAACTCTAGATAAAAATGACAATGAAATCGACGTCACACCTTCTTATAGGCGTCAAAACACTCTCGGAGACACCAAGACTCCTAGGGACAAGATATGAAAGTTTATCTAGAGCCATCATAATACCTAAATATAAATGAATGCTATTTATTTAAATTAATACTAAGTTTTTCGTTCCATATTCACAGGTCACACCACGGAGAGAATGATTGTTTCTCGGTCAGTCTGCATTTGTGTCACAGGAGGAAAAATTTACAAAATATTTCATATTTCTTGACGTTTCCGGCTTCATGTTACATCTGTGATGATTCATCCCCTCATTAGCATCTCTCTTCTCTAACGACCTACAGAAAACCTTCTAACACCATCCTTGGAAATATCAACTTAGGTAGCAACACCTCTATGTTGATCTTGAACATGAGCATAGGTGCCGCTCTTATAGTCTCGCGCAAGAACTGGAATTGAGCTTCTGCACACACTCTACACCGAACATGTCTTTGAGAATGATGAGAGGTGACGATTATATGACCATGAGGCAATGGGGAATTTACAGATTAAACATTGTAAAAGAATGGATTCAAATAACAAGTTATTATGCCTTTTATTAACCATACTTCGGCATCTATAGTTTACACTAAACATTTTTAATTACTTAGGAATGTCATTAAAAATCATAAAATTGTTTCATTTATTCAACTTTTATCAAATAATTTTATTTGTTTCTTTGTTACTTTATTCAATAACACAAACCACATATCAGTGCTAAAGTAGAATATTGTTTTATTTTGTGAGAAGTGGAGCACTGTTTCTTGATTCCATTATGACAAAATCTTGTTTTAAAACATTTTGCTGAACCAAAATTCGTTTAAATGTAGGAGAGCATCAAAGATATTAATTTCACATTCATTTAGCGATATTTTGCACCACTTAGGTGTACCATAATATGTTTTAGATCTGTTTATGTCTATTTAATTCTATAATATATGGGTCTAATGTATATATATTCCTAAATATTTTTAAAGTATGGATGTATACCTTAGTAGTGACCAAGAGAAAATTCTAGAGTATGCAAGGTGAAAAGTGGCGATTTGCCTTCAAATTCAATTCTCTCTCGCTAGCTGGCGTTCCTCCTTTTTTTTCATTCTTTTTTGTCCAAATCTTCAGTCCATGCCCTTCACATTTTATAATTGATTAGTGAGCATGCATGATCCATAGATTTTATAATGTTTAAGCTTCAAATATACTCAAGATGAAGTAAACATGGGTGACCATCATCGGGCATGGTGCACAGCATGCACGGCGCGGAGAGATCATGCAGAGCAACAGACGACTTCTCTATAGTTGCAAAAATTCGCCACTAGATCGGGAGGAGAAGAGTCCCCTTTTTTCTCCTTTTGATTCTTTTTAAGGGAGTGGGAGAATGATTATTTTCTTGAATTGTTGGGAGAATGAATTGGACATGGTGACGTG